GAAAAAGTTCATCTTAAAAGTTCTTATATTTTGACAAAGGAAAGTGTCAGAACCAAGTGTGCAATTAAGTTCCTTTCTATCTTCACATGTCAAAAGTCTTTACTGAGTGTTGGCAGATTGAAAGAAAAGAAAAAAACTTTTTTATTATACATGAAAACCTGTAAAAGGCAGTAACCTACTTTTTTCAAGGGGATTTCTCGGCAAAGTGGTGTCTCAGAGCCTCCACTACCAATAAAATATCACCTAGAGTAGTGACAGGGAGAGGGGCTGAGTTGAATTATTTGAATTATTTGCTGAGTTAGACTGTGACTTTGAAAAAGCAAAGAAAAGTGGTTGTACTGACTTAGAGGCCACAGATTAAAAAAGTCCTGGTCACTCCTGCAAGGGAGGCACCTAATGATTTGTGATAGAGGGTCAGATTCAGATGTTCTGGCTTATGATCAGGAAAAGATAAACAATTCTGTGCCAGATCAGAACAAGAGCCCATCTAGTCTGTAATCCTGTTGCTGGCACTGGCCAAAGCAAATTCCTTGTGATGAGTACAAGAGTGGGGCAGATGTGTGCCCATGAGTCTATTAAATTCCAAGTATGGCAGATTTTCCAGGTATCTAAAGATCAGATATCAGAGGGGTGCTCAGCAGGTCCTGTGTGTCTGGTCTCAGATCTACATTTCAGAAAACTAGCAAATTGAGCACATAGTGTCATAAGCCAGATGTTGGTTATTCTGTACTGACTGTAAGTAATTCCACAATAAAATTGTTATCCACCCTATTGGCCTTTTGGTCTGTGTAAATGTGTGGATATCTGTCCCTCTGCCTCATGTGGAAGGCCTTGTGCTGTGATAATCTGTGAAGTTTCTCATAGGACAGTGTGCTTCTCCATCAAGTGCAATTACTGACATGACCTTCAGCAGTTCTGCATCTGTCCTAACTGCAACCTGATCAGGTCCTGTCCCCAGCTGTAAAGCCATTCAGGGTCTTCCACACCTCTGCAAGGTGAACTAACCCAATTTAAGGGGCTTAAAGACCCTCTAAAACCAGGTCCTAGCATTTTTATTTATTTTATTTTTTATTTTTCATTTCTATATGGGTTGCATAGACGTGTCCTGAAGCCTTTCTGAGGAGACTGGAGTTAACAGACCAGTATCAGTACCCTTTGGTCAGAACTATGAAAATTAAGTTATTTTTTTGAAGCATATTGCTCTGGAGTGCCCAGACAATCACCTACTCAGTGAAAGGAGGTGAGTGGAGAGAAAGAGAATCATAGAAAACCAGCTTCTGCCATTGTTTGCCCCCTTCTTATCCCTTCAGCTCTTAACCAAAGCTTGCCTCACTCCCATCCTGCCCTTGCTGTCACTTATGTCCAGTGCTTTATACGGGCTACACAGCCCAATCATATCTTCTTACCATGATAATTATCAGGTGAAACTCTGATTCTTCATTGTCTAGATCATTACATTGTTAGAACATGCCATGGCATCATCTTGTTGCATCAACTAGTAACTGTCCTAGGCAGGTCCTGAGCAAGCAATTATGAGAGACCATTTGCAAGAGCTAGTTTTGGATGATCAGGTAGTTCAACACAATGAATATGGTTTGTTTCACAATAGAAAATTGTCTTGATTTCATCCACTGTGACTATCAACGTAGCCTCGGACAAGGTAGGGCTGAGCAGGGCAGTAAAGAGAATGTTACCTCAGGCTTAGTGACCTCCATGTGTTAGAGGGCTATTGACATCTAAAGTAGCAGCCTTTAGACTTCACCAGCCCATGGACCACAGTTCTGTGCATGGCAGCTGAACTGCTTCCACTCAGGATTGTTTGATTACAAGGTATAGATGCCCTTGATAACACTGGAAGCTTCTACTGAGCACCAGAGTCTTCTTCACTGTAGACATTAAGGGCTCTATTTAGTTATCCACATGTAGATCACAATGTTGTATCCAAGACATCCATAATAACTGGCAGATACAACACACTAACAAAAAGAGACCTCTGTGCTTCTGGAGCAGCAGCTGGTAACCAATCTAGCTAACCCAGTTCATCTCAAATGGCAGGAGGTGCCTATGTTTGGGCAACTGAATCAAGCCACTGAAGTTAGACATCTGAATCCAGAATGGAGTTTCATTTGTATACTAGGAATTGTGGAAATAATTTTATTCTTTCCCCTTATTTTTCCTTAAGACCTTACTTGTGGAAGATCTCACCAGTTCTGCCAAAGGCATGCTTCTATGGGCTTCTGGCTCTGTCCCAGAGTCGACAGTGGCAACACACACAAGCAATGGCACTCAACTTGTTCCCACAGGAAAAGATTGCAATGACTGATTTTACCACCCTGGAATTCTGGTGTTGTTTTTGGTGACAGCATAACATTCCACCACTTTTTCTGGTGTTGTAACTCACAAACATGTGAGGTAGGACAGTGTGAAATTACTGAAATTACAAACTGAGAGTTTATATACATTTGGTGAATAGTTGAAACTCCTGACAAAGTGCCTACTACCAGACAGATGGAAGTATGGCTGGGAAATACCGTGCTAATATTACGACATCATGGACTTGTGTCTCCTGTAGTATCTGGACAGGGCTGATCTGTGACTCACTGTTCTCCTTCCAGGCAGGAGAGGGCAGTAGTAGCACACACATTGACCCATCTGTCCCTATTACAAGCACTCTTGACTGCAGTAGAATATGGCCTGTCCTTGTATTATCGACAGACCTCTCTGATCAATTTGCTGGTGATTTTAACTGATGGAAGAAGGAAAAAAGACATTTTCTTCCTTACAAGTGCAAGATAGCATCCTACAAACCCAAAGTTCACGAGGGTTAGGAGTAATGCATGCCCAAGGCTCCCCACCTCAGCAGTAAAGGAGGGTGAGAAAGTAGATATGGAGTGGTGAGAAAGGGTAGTGAGACTCTTAAGTGTCCCTCAGTGGAACAGCCTTTGGAGGTAGGACATAACAGTTGCCCACTGACTATTACAACCCATAGTAATGTGATCTCTCACTAGACCCAGGAAAGAAGTGAGAAGATTTATATCATCATGGTTGAGTAACATTTTACACATGGGGCAAATCCTACAGCTGGGGCAACTTTAGAGTCTTTGTTTTTGTTTAGGTTGTGTTGCCCAGCAGTACAATCAGCTGTTCCATAGTTAGGGGAGCAGATCGTTAACGGGCTGTACAGAAATGGGGAGACACAACTTCCAGAGAGGAGCTGCTTCTTGCCAGCTGATTTTTTCTCATGTCCTTGAACCCCCACTGGCTCTTAATACAAGTGTTGATTTAGATAAGAATAAAATCATACTCCACTTATATTATTACTTTTAACCTATGAGGGACTTAGGAACATGATGACTGAGGTCTCTCATCACCTTCACAACTGGCAAAATGTCCCCTGAGCCACATGGTGCTCTGCTTAGCACCCCAGGGAAGGATCACAGGCTGGGATTCACGAGATTCACAAGCCTGAGATGTTTCAATGCATGTCATCTCTGGGTCACCTTCAGGGTGAAGAGCTCTGGATACAAGAAGGACACAAAGGCCAAGAATCTTGTTCCCCAAAACCAGAAAAAGCAGAAGGACATTGGGATACAAAGGACAATCCTGTTTCTAGTCAATTTTCTTCCCTACCACAGGGTGATTCATCTCTGTTGGACATATCCCAGCCTGGATGATTCCCAAACATTTCCAGCACTGGGGTGGTGGTTTGAGAGCTCGGGTTTCTGTCCTCAGTTCTCCTGCAGCCTCACTGCAGTAAGTGCAGGAAGAATACAAATATGTTCAAGGCTCCCTCATGCAGGCGTGTCACACACCTAGTGTAGGCCTATGGTGTTCCCTGCAGACTATTTATTCCTGTTTCCCATGGCTCATGAAGGATAATTCCTCCCACATCAAGGCTAATTATCCTAGATGAAATGTTATCTTAACATGATGTTACTGCTCCAGGGAGGTGAGTGGCTTATTTAGAGCAAAGTCAGATGTCTTGGTGAGTCCTTAATGGCTTTAACAAAGCTTCCTTGTTGTTGTACATTGTTCAGGGAGCTTTGACTTCAGGGGAACTCTTGCAATTTCCATTCAGAGAGGATCTGTCCCTCCACAAACCAGCTCTCCCTCAGTAGACTAACGATAGTTATCCCACAGTAACTAGTACTTCAATATAAGCTTCGATCTCCTGCTCACACACAAACAGGGGACAAAACCAGTCTCTGTCCTATAGATTTTACTATGCAATAATGTCCCCTTCTCTCATCTAAACCAAAGCATCTGAGAAGATGTACACGCCACCTTAACTGTAGGCAATGGGAACATAGTCACTAAATCCTCACTGCAGGAAATAAAGTTCATCTTACGGCATCTCTGAAGAGGATTTGCTCTCACTTGCTGTCAGTGAGCACTGTTGTGACAGCACTCACTGCAATCCCAGCTCCATGCTCCCACTCCTCCCTCCTCCAGCCCCCAGATCCAACATGGAGAAGTGACAGACACATTTCTTTTTTAGTTTCCCCTCCTTTCTTACTTTGTTGCTAGGATCATCTTTTTCCTCGCTGTCTGCTCTTTCTGTTCCATGTGCTGTCTGGCAATGTGCTCTCCTACCGCCTTGGCGGGGAACTCTGTTTCACAGGTGTAGCCAAAATCTCTGGCCAAGTGTAATGCTTCTCCTGTGGGCAAACAAAATGGGTCAGTTAATTCTTAGGGTTAGTATTATTACACAGAAACACAGGCTTGGCTTGACTGGAAAAGACCTATAAGATCATCAAGTCCAATCATTATAATTATATATATTCTTATTATTATGCTTACAGAATTGCTTCCCCTATTAAAAAAAATAATACAATAACAAAACATTTTTGTAGACATTCGTTCTCAATCTCAGTTACACATTTCAGTCCATTTGGCCTGCTCATGCTTAATCATCAGATGGTGCCAACCAGAAGATAAAGAGAATATTCCTCTCATGAGAAAATACTAGCCAAGACACTTGGGTTTAGCTCTTTCCCCTGCCACCAGTGAGTGCTGGGTAGCTGCTCAAGTTTGGTAAGCTCAGTTCATCATTGATATGTAAGGTATGGAAATGAGTGGAAAGTAGGAATAAATAACTCTAAATAACTGAGATTTGGCCATTGCTATTTCAATTCTCTGTCTCTAAAGGAAGAATAACCTTCTACCCCAGGAGAGAGCTGGGGAGATGACATACATTTCACCATATTTGCTCAGGGATCAAACCAACAGGCATGATACAGGTGCCCCACAATAAAGATGAGCAGACCCGGAAGCAGATTAAAAGAAACAATCATGTTTCCAAAAAGATTGCAATCAAAATTGACCAGAAAAAATAAAAAGGGATGGCAATGAAAATCACAGTTGCTGTTTTATAGGGGGGCAAATCCAGACAAAGGGAGTAAGTGGCTTGACTAGGCTTTGTGAAAAGTCTGTGACAGAGGCAGGCACTGAGCAACTCTCTGCTTCACTACAGAGATTGGACATGCTAGGTGCCAAATGCTTCTGTAAGAACCTGCCTCTCTCCGGTAGCTTAGGGAACCCAGGAATTTATTTTAGGGTTTACTGAACACTCTGATCTGTGTGTAGTGACTCTGACAACCTTGGCGTGAGATTTAGCTGCTCAAACACAGCTGCCTGGGCTGTGAACATCTGTGCCTTAGTCTTTCCCCGGTGGGAAACAGGCACTTCCAGATGACACTTGGTCTCATCTCATCGTAGAAGGTAGAACTAGGTCATTTACTAGAAGTTTGTGTTGAAGTACATCTGCATGAGTGACTAACAGAGATGTGTTCCAGGATAGTTTTCGGGTTAAGGTGTTGTGGGTTTTTTATTTTATTTTTTCTTACTTTCAGAGTTGTGTATTTGATTGCCATCATGAGAGGTGGCATTGGACCCTGGCTTTTTGGAGACTAGGCTGATGCTCCAGGTGAACAGTTAGGAGAGATGCAGGACCAGTAACACTTCCCTTTGAGAACACGTAAAGTGGACCCAATATTTCCAAGTCAATGAAGACAAGCTAGCACTTGAAGTATGTATCATAGAATCATAGAGTGGTTTGGGTTGGAAAGGACCTTAAAGCTCATCCAGTTCCAAGCCCCCTGCCATCAGCAGGGACACCTTCCACTAGACCACGTTGTTCAAAGCCTCATCCAGCCTGGCCTTGAACATTTCCAGGAGGGGGCATCCACAACTTCCTTGGGCAACCTGTTCCAGTGCCTCACCACCCTCACAGCAAGCAATTTCTTCCTAATATCTCACCTAAATCCAGTTTAAAAACCTCTTCCAGTTTAAAGCCATTTCTTCTTGTTCTATCACTACCTGCCTTTGTAAAAAGTCCCTCCTCAGCTTTCTTGTAGGCCCCCTTCAGGTATTGGAAAGTTGCTATAATATCTCCCCTAAGCCTTCTTTTTTCCCAGGCTGAACAACCCCAACCCTCTCAGCCTGTCCTCATAGGAGAGGTGTTCCAGCCCTTGGATCATCCTCATGGCCTCCTCTGGACTCGTTCTAACAGGTTCTAACATCTTCTTTAGTATCATCCCATACTGAAGTGGAAGGAGAAAGTGGATCAGATAAATTATAGAAAAGTTTGGTTTAGAAGGGGAACTCAGGAGATTACCTGTTGGAAACATGGCCCTAGATTAGGTTACTCATGGAGTTTTCAAGCCTAGTCTTGAATATTTCCAATCATGGAGATTCCACAGCTTTTCTGAGCAACCTACTAAAATTTAAAATATTAATTTAATTGAATTTATTTGTTAATCACCCAGAAGTGCTGATTTCTCTCAGTTGACTACAAGGCATGAGAGGACAGATACAACTACGACAGAGATGATAAGATGAAAGCCATCCCCAGCAAGTCTGGGTCTCCTCTGCACAGAAATGGGCATGCCAAGGAAGATCACAGAATCACAGAATGGTGGGGGTTGGAAGGGACCTCAGGAGATCATCTAGTCCAACCCCCTTGCCAAAGCAGGTTCCCTGCACCAGGTTGAAACTTCCATGAGAACAGTGGTCCTGTGTCAGGGGCAGGGTGAGGTATAAGGAACCACATGCACTGAACTCTATTCCAGACTCTATTCTCCATCTTTTCAGAGTTTATTGTCTCCCCTTCTACCATTGGAGTTTTTACCAGAAAAATACCTTTTTTTTCCATGAGCAAATACTTCGTTGTGTGTTTATCTGACCTCACTGGATTCAGGTGCTAGTAAAATGTGTGCTACACCCAGGGAATTTGTTTGCTGACATCAGTCAACAATAACCTTTGCAGCTGTAACCAATTTTATATGCAAAAATTGAAGATTATACTCAAAAACCTCCATATTATTTGAATTTTTTAAACATTTTTTCCAGTATGCTTAAAAAGAATGAGAAGTTAACAAGCAATCACTGTGTCTGAGTTGAAAGGAGAAATGATTTCCACTTAGTTTACAGCTTCTAGAAATGTAAGATAATTTTCACTGAAATTAAAATAGATTTTAGTGGTAGGTTAAACGTGAGTCAGAATGAACAGGCATCTAGCTGAGTGCCAGTTTTGTATTTAAAATATCTATCCCAGACTTCTTCATGGATGAGAAACGGCACAAATTTAAACCATAGCAGCTAAATTTCTGCAGAGTTGCTTCAAAATGTCTATTTCAGCTGCACTTTTACTTTTACTCTTCCTTAAATAATGACTTAAAGAGTAAGACAATTGCAGAAGAAGTACCAGGTTTTGCTTTTCAACCAAACTCTATTAAAACACTTGATAGGTTTGTTTTCATGCCAGTGTGGAAAGAAGATAAAAGTCCAACCCTTTGAAGGTGTCATCACATGGAATTACCATTTTCCAGACAGCTCTATCCTGATCCCAGTCAGCCCCAAGTAACAATGCAAGGAGCGTAGTCAATAAAGAATTTAAACATTTAGCTATTGGAAAAGTCTTGGTTTCTTCAAGAGAAACAAACTTTATATGAAGAAATGCAGGGATTTATTTAATATAGTCAAAACCAAACTGGTTGAAATTTGTATGTTTTCACTTTATGTCAGGAAAAAACCAAACAAGGAATGAAAATATGAATTGTCATTCGAATTTATCTTTATAAAGATGGTGTATATTATTTACTAGAGCTGAGAAAATTATGCTAAATAGTTTTGATGATCTGAGAAAATTATACAAAAGCATAAAACTTGTCTATTTTACATGGAGCTGGGATTGTGATTGAATGTTAATGGTATATGAAGGGATAAAACCACAAGCAAAATGAAATAAAGTTGCTTATTGACACTGATTGTGACTATTTATAGGTAAAAATATGTATACAAATGTACCTGCTGTCAAAAAATAGATACACAAATTTTAAAATATGTTTAAAAAATATATTTCTACTGGAAATAGAAAGCTGATATATATTAGGAATGCACATTATAAGTATGCATATGTATTCATATAAGCACGCACTTCCATATGATATAAGAAATAGGCATTCTAAATCACAACATCAAATTCTAAATAAAAATAGAAAACTGATCATGAAAAGGCTCTGTAGAACATCATTTCTCATGTCTCATTTTTAAGCAAAGAGCTCATTTTGCACCTGGATGATTTATTTAGAAGTGGATTGTGTTATATTTCTTTTTTTTTTTTTTGTTAATCTCAATGAATACAGGTCTCATTACTGTACAGTAGGAAATAAGTCTGCTTGGTGGGGAAAGCAGTTTGTACAAAATGTCATAAATGCTATTCTTTCTTGTTCTACATCATAATTTGGACAAAGATTTATTCCAGGGGAAAATGTAGAAATGTTGGAAACATGGATGCACTGACCTCTTTCCTTCCACTTTAGATTTGCTTTCTTCTGCCTAGTTATTATTTATGTCAGGTAGGAGTCATACTAAAGGTAGAAACCCCTACAATCCCTGGCTTTTATAGTCAGTGTTCTTTTTGGAGTCTAAAAATCATATTTCCTTATGTGCAACATCCCCAGCTCTTTCCTCCTGCAGAAATAAAGAACAGGTGCTGGGCATCGTTGGCTCTTTCTCCTTCAATCTGTCGCACAGCTTTGCAGCTATAGGCAGCATTGCCTTTCCTATATAATTTGACAATTGACCAGAGATATTTCCATGATGGAAAAGGACAGTTGCTGAAGCTGAATTGTCAGAGACAGCTCTGGAAAGTCTCAGTGGAGAGACCAGCCCACGTACCTTGACAGGCTTCTGTGGGCAGGTGCAAGGAGCAGCGTGGGTGTCTCCTGGGTCTAACAAGAGTGAGAGATGCTCCTATAAAGAGTGAAGGCAGAAGCTGTGTCCCAGGGGAGGGACACGTGGCATATGAACCTCCTACACTCTCCTCAGCTTCGCCTCGTCTGGATGCTCTACCCAGCAGAAATGTGACCTCGGGGGAGGAGGGACAGGCAGGAGGTGGAAGGAAAGGGGTTTTTTGCTATTTGTAGGGTGAGAAGGGAGGAGGAACAAGTGGAAGGATATTTAAACAAGGGCTGGTGGGGGAGAAGTGTGACAGTTGATAGCAAGGTGAAAAAAGTAATCACTGACCTAATTTTCTCAAGAATTTTTGTCCCCAAACGATGCATGCAGTCAATTCTGTGTCTAGTAAATTTAGTGCCTTAGTTAAGTTTGACAGGAAAACAAATTCTAGATTTTTTTGTAAGTGCTTTTCCTGATTTTTGTAAGTAATCTGATTGTTTTAAATTAATTTATTCATTGCTTTTACCTGTATGTGCAATAACATTTATGCTATGTCTCTACCTTAAAGTGACCTGTCCAAACAGATCAGGATGTGTTACCTCTTCTCACATCCTCTCTTGCTTCTCTTAGGCACACTTTTGACTCCTTTGATCCAGCAGTAAAATTTAGCCTTGGCAATCCTAGTATTTAATGGAGGAGCTTTTATTGTTTTAGCTAAGATATAGGATTTTTTTCTTTTAATGGTGATAAGGAAAATTACCTTTCCCTTCATCTAATCCAGGCGCTAGAGGGCATCCCTCACCCACAGGTTGCACAAAGATATGTCCCATACTGCTGTGGAGAGTCTTGCAATAGAATCATAGAATTGCCTAGATTGGGAAAGACCTTTAAGATCATCGAGTTCAACTGTAAACCCAACACTGCTGAATCCACCACTGAGCCATATCCCTAAACACCACATCTACACATCTTTCAATTAATTCTAGAGGTGGTGACTCCACGACTTCCCTGGGCAGCCTGTTCCAATGCTCTTTTAGTGAAAAAATTTTTCCTAATATCCAATCTAAACCTCCCCAGGTGCAACTTGAGGCCATTCCCTCTTGTCGTAAAACTTGTTACTTGGGAGAAGAGACCAACCCCCACCTCACTACAATCTTCTTTCAGGTGGTTGTAGAGAGCCAAAAGGTTTCCCCTCAGCCTCCTTTTCTCCAGGCTCAACAATCCCTGTTCTCTCAGCTGCTCCTCAGCACACTTGTGCTCCAGACCCTTCCCCAGCTCTGTTGCCCTTCTCTGGACATGCTCCAGCACCTCCATGTCCTTCTTGTAGTGAAAGGACCAAAACTGAACATAGTATTCAAGGTGCAGCCTCATTAGTGCCCAGGACAGGAGAAGGATCACTTCCCTACGCCTCCTGGCCACATTGTTGCTGACACAAACTAGCTCAATGATGAGCTCATTCTCCCAATCTGTCTTTCCACCCATTTTGTTGACTTAAGTGAACAACATAAAGAACAGAACTGATCTGACAAACAATTCCTACTCTGGGCCCCAGAATTGCTTACTAAAGACACTAAATATGCAACCTGGCCAAAACAAGAATAATAGTAAACAATCATCATCCCCAAAAGAAGTAAGTTTGCAGAAAACAAGGGATGACAGAATAATTTTCATAGAATCATAGAATGATTTGGGTTGGAAGGGACCTTAAAGATCATCTAGTTCCAACTCCCCTGCCATGAGCAGCGACACCTTCCACTAGATCAGGTTGTAAGATCCACACTTTATGTGGATAAAGTATGGATCTTCACATGACTAGTACAGCTTAGAAATTAATTGCACTCTTGTACTTAGCAGTAGTCCCAAAACTCAATTATTTTATTCTGTTTTAGAGGAAGAGAAGTATTAGTCATGCCAGAGACTTTCAAGACAGCTTTGGTCAGTATACCTAATCGCCATACAACTAATTTTACCTTTTCTTACCTTAAGTGGATATTCAATAGGTTGAGCATATTCCTACCTTACAGAGGTATCAAAGACCTCAATACATTGAAGATTGTGAAGACCTTTAGTAATAATAAACTTAGGACTATCTAAAGAAATAAAGTGACACAATCCTGGGTCCTTATAAGTCCACACAGTGCACTTAATATTTAGGGATTTAATAAAACTAACAAATCATGATGTCAATTTCTGTATTGACATCACACAGAAAAACCAATGTTTTCTTCCTGTTTTCTTTTCCTCTAAAACTTGAAATAAGCCTGTGTCTTTCCATTTCTGCCTCTGCCAGCAGCAGGAGCCATTGAGGGATGGGTTTCCTTGAAGAAACCATGCTGCAAGTTAGTACCACTTGGAAGTAATATCTACATGTACAAAGGGAGGATAGCTCACACTACAAAGAATTCAATAAGCACTGCCAAGTTTGACTGAGGATTGGTTACATAAAAAATGAGCTTCATTTTGTTTTCTGTTGGAATGTTAACTCACATGGTGGTGCCTTTCCCAAAAATTCCAGTAGACAAAATTCATGATTAGGATGTCTAGACAAATAGGTTTCTGTTAAAGTGAGCCCAGTCTCCTCAGGGTATATCTTTAGGACTCACATTAAGGCAATCCAAGAACAAAAGCAATACTATAGACTTGATAAAAGGTTTGCTATTGGCTTTGAGTAAAGGGCAGGGAGGCAAGTACATCTCAGTCCTTGGGAAAAAGGAGTCTAATTCTGACTTACAGTAATGGTACTTTGCCATCAGTCCCAAACCAGCAGTTGAAAGAGGGCTTCCTCACTCTCAATCTCTTCTAATAGATGAGTAGCTATGAATAAACATAGCTTTGTTTATTCATCCAAGATGCATGAAGGATTTTGAGGCCAGGAACAGCCTTTACTCCTTTAAACTGGGGGAGAAAACTCCCTTTTCTAAAACTGTAACTCCATTATCTCTTTCTCTTTATTACAAGCAGGTGTGATATGGACACACCTATATTTCAAAGCAGACTCATTGCAGTTCTGTGTGCTCAGTGGCCCCTGAGAACATTAGTCCCTCCTCTTAGATGATGAAAAACACTCACTGTTGTGGATTCAGCACAACACAAATTTCTGCATCCTTTGAGATATTAAAAACCTGACTAGACAAGGAACCAAGAAACTTCTTCTGACTGACCCTGCTTTGAGAAGGAAGGTTGGACTAGAAGATAGCCAGAGGTCCCTTCCAACCTCAGCCTTTCTGTAATTCTGTGATTTAGTGGTAATATGTTCTGAGACCTCAGTCTACTTGCCTAGGTCTGTATAGACCTTTTAGGTTATAATCCTAGAAGATGTTGACCTTTAGGATGAGCTGAGTGCTCTCAACATCAAGGAGGAGGGATCTGAAATTCCCAGAGCTGCTACTTGCAGCCAGACAACAAACCAAGTACTTAGTGGATTCACCCAGAATAGAAGAGATTCAGGTAGAGTTTCTTCCCTTTGCCTGAGGGGTTTGAACCTGCATCTCCCAGATGAAGGTTTGAAGAGCCTGGCAGTATTTGGTGAATGATATTTAAACAACAAATAAAGGCCAAGAAAGTATCTCCTGGGCCTGTGTAGAGTTTATCTGAAAACAGATTTCATTCATTTATGTGTGTGGGGAAAAGTCTTGTCTAAATATTATGCCTTCTTATGGGAAAAAAAAAAATAAAATCACATTTTTGGATCAGCTCCAGGAAATTCACAAGTTAAAAAAAAAAAAAAAAAAGGAGGATAAACAAACCTACTTATAGAGTTGGTATAAGACATTATTCATCTCTCTCACAAGAATGCTTGGATCATTGATTTGTAAGTCAAATCCCAGCACAGAAAGCACAGATCAATGCTGAGGAAACTGCAGGACCAAACCACTTGCTGGGAGCCAAGACATCTCAGAGTGAACTTCCATTTTGCCACTCGTTCTGTCTGTGGCTTTAAGCAAGTCATTTCTCCTCTTTGTATAAAACACAGATAATATTTATCACTGTGGCTGAAAAGTGTTGTATACAAGGAAACATTTTAATTAAGTTCATATTATATTGCAATATTATAAACCCTACCTTCTACCAAGGAAGTCAAGAGTGTGACATTTGCTGCTTTTCTTCTTCCTGCAGGCAAATTCAGTCCCAGTCTGTCTAATTTTTCTCGCAAGCAGCGTCCACCATTCTTGGATTTTGCTCTATCATGAGAGAAGAGTAGAAGAGAGAAACTTATCTTTATTCTGTACTTACCACATTAATATAAGTCTAGAAATTGTACACACCTTATTGATAAATATGTGGGGGAACACCTGCATTAATGACATAAATGTAAAATCTTTCAGAGCTGTATTTTTAATGTCCTGCTCACCCTGTGCGAGTCTTTTGTGTTGGTCCTTTGATAGAGTAAGATATTTTAATGCTTGTCACAGGGGTGTTAGATTTTCAGACAGCTTTTCACTTAGTGGAAACCATGGTTCTGATTTGGGGACCAAGCCTGAGATTGCAATGACTGAATATAAATATTGACAGTGCAGTCCATTATATCTGATTTCACCACCCCATCCTCCCAAGTCAACTGAGAGAGAAACATGAACTTTGAGAATGATATTAAATAGATGTTTAGAATGAGGTGACTTTACCCACCTCTTTCACCTGACTATAAAAGGAGGCCAAATGGCTACTCAAATGTAGACATTGATGTGGAACTGCTGTGGTTTATTTCCAGTTGGCAACTAAGCACCACGCAGCTGCTCACTCACTCCTCTCCCCCTCCCACTAGGATAGGGAGGAGAATAAAAAAAAAGGTAAAACTCATGCATTGAGATAAGAACAGTTTAATAATTGAAATAAAAGAAAAATACTACTACTAATAATAATATTAATTGTACAAAAATGAAGATAACAAAAAGAGAGATAAATAAAACCCAAGGAAGACAAGTGATGCACAGTGTAATTGACGGAAGCCCAGCCAGTCCCTGAGCAGCCATCAGTCCCCTCTGGTCAACTCCCCCCAGTTTATATACTGAGCGTGATATGTATGGGGTATGTAATATCCCTTTGGCTAGTTTGGGTCAGCTGTCCTGGCTATGCTCCCTCCCAGCTTCTTGTGCATCTCCTTGCTGGCAGAGCATGGGAAACTGAAAAGTCCTTGACTTCAGGTAAGTGCTACTTAGCAACAGCTAAAACATCAGTGTGTTATCAGCGTTATTCTCATACTAAATCCAAAACACTGTACCAGCTACCAGAAAATTAACTCTATCCCAGCTGAAACCAGGACAGGAACTCAGCTCCAGATATCCCCCTATAATTTATGTAAAGACCTGGATATTTAGAAATGTAGTCTACAAAACCAAATACTTACAAGGAAGAAGGATAAGGCAATAGGAGATGCTGAAGCTAAAATCCCAGCCATCGTTGGTTATCTATACCCCTAGCCCAAATGCCTACATCACTTTGTTCTCACAAAATGGTTCCTGGCACGTCCCACATCTGCGTTTCTGCAGTACCTTGGTGTTTGAAGCATTTAAAACATATCCACTTATGCAGCAGATATTGGTTTAATTTCATGCTCAAACTGAGGAAATTTTAACCTGTGTCTTTTAGACAAATGAAGCAGCCAGCTGGCAGGGAACAAAAAATATTGAAATGCTTAAACATTGAATGGAGATCTCCTCCATCCCAAATGAATGATCTGGTCATTAGATAATAAAGTCATCGCTACAGTTACACCTTTACTTTTGTTCACTAAATAGTTGATTAGCTCCAAATGAGACTGGGGGGCCCTCAACTTAGAATAACCAAACACTGAGTGTTCAACATGACTAACTTGATGTTTTGAGGTGCAGGTTGAAGTTCCTTCAGGCAGAGGAAGGAACCAAACTTGGAATACTACCATTTGGATGGGCATTTTTATGCCCTAAGAGATACCACAACTTCAACCATGTTGTAAGTAAGGAAATGTCTTCTGAGAACACTTAGTTCTGAAGAAAAGCTAGCCGGGAAAATACCTACAGGATGCAAAACCAACCCTACCAGGTCAGGCAAATCATGGATGAGATTTAGTTTTGCTACATCTCTGGTGGTCAACTGCACAGTACTTGAGTCTATTCTCTATTTGTGACATCTACAGGTAGTACTCCCTGGCTTTTGCTAACTACTGAACCATTACCAGGGTTGATTTGGAAGAGTGATATTTGGTCTGGGTCAAAAACTTATGGACAACATTCTAGCACTTTAACCCAAGAGAGAAATGAGTTCCCACATGCAGGCTGATGCCCTTGCGTTCTTAATAGCCTGCACTGGTACTGATGAATCTGCAGGATGAGTATTTAAAGTGAATATTTCAGTGACTAATAACTGAAGGCCTCTCCAAAGTGAAGCAGTAACAGAGGAAAACTTTTGTGGGTGAAGATTTTGGATTTCAATGCCTACAGAGGCAGGTAAATGGGGCTTGTGCACCTGAAACAATTTTCTGATCTATAGTACTTACTCTGCAAGATGGCTCAAGACATCTCTTGGACTACTACATATCTTAGAATATTGCAGGTTGGCTAAAATGACTTTCAGTATAAGTACAAGGATCAGTGTGGCCTTCAGTGACAGCAGTGAAATAGCCTATGACTTTCCAGCTAGCTTTGATCAAAGGCCATTCAAGTAGCTTATGTCATCGAAGTTGATGCCTCAGGGACATTGCGACTCACATATGCTTGGCTGAATTACAGTTGCATCCATGTTTTCCACTTGCAATGTGAGGCACAGTCTGCCACTTTCCTCCTCTCTTCTACTGCTCTCTACAGGTGTCTACTCTGGTCAGTGAAGAGTCAGAGGCAAAACTCTACCTAATTACTTGTTTCTCCTCCAGTGTCTCACAATGAGAAAAATAAACCCAGTGTATTCTGCTAAGTCTATCTTTTCTGTAATCAACAGGCATACAAGGGAGAACAGGAGAAAAAAACATACCTACACCTTCGTATTTTAGGTTTTTGATGAATGAGGGCTGTAACTGCACTTGGTAAAACAATTGACATTGAAATAGTTTCTCAACAAGAAGTCAGTTTTTTAGCTCTCAGAATTTTTCACACACTGAGGGTTTTTTTTTATTTCATTCAAAACAAGGCAAAACAATACCTATACATCTCTGATGGGTAACTATGTGAACTGAGGGGGGAAAAAAAGATTAGTTCACTCAAAAATGAAAATTTCTGTGAAAAAAGACAACATAATCTTCATTTTTCTCATTTATTGAAATTTTCCCTAGAAATAGTGTTCACTCCCAATCTACCTCCTTCTGTTTTCCCAAACTGTGACCACCTACCCAAGCTGAGAAGGAGAACAAAACCTACTTGCAGAAAATAAAATCACAGCAATTACAGCGCTGTCTAGGATTTGTTATTCTCACCTTCAACTTACCTTCTCAAAATACCTCCTAAGAGGGAAGCGTTGAGGCACTCTGGTGGTGAAAGACGCCTCTTCACCTCTGCGATGGTCACTTTGTACTTCGAAGTGGAGCTGAGTAGAGATAAGCGACCAGGTACAGAACAGAACAGGTCGGTGGGGTTAACAACACAGGTGCCTCCTACAAAATGAAAGAAATGTTAGAGGGAGGGAAAACAGCCTATTCCATATTTAGGCAAATTCAGTAATGAATAAGAATTCTGTTGTTTACTTGTGGTTGGTTGTTGGGGTTTTGGGGGGTTTTTTTAGGGGTGTGTGTTGATTGGTTTTATTTTTTCAATATTGTATCATGTTATTGCTTTGAGAAAGATGAATGACTTGAAATTTCAGTCTGGGAAAAGTGAATTACTGGATCTCATAAGTTTTACAGTCAAATTAGATCATTATGGCTACCTCATTTGATTTCATGCTCAGCAAAAAATACATATTGTCATTGAAAGACTCTTGTATCTAGTATGATTAAGAGCATAAGACTGAAACACATTCAGGTTTCACTCATTACTTTAAAAAATGCAGTTGGTGAAAAATTTAGGATACTGATTCTAATGACAAATGTTCATTTTAACTCTCATAGCTGTGGTTAGGATAACAAAATGCAATGGCACTATAGGTTTGCAATTATTTGCAACCAGAACAGCTTTCTACACCTTTGAACCCTCATGTACTCCTTCTAAAGTTAGGTCAAATCCTCAGCTGATATTAATGATTCAAATCTACTGAGCTACATCAGTTTATCTCAGATTAGTTCTGAAATTGTTTATTTCTTGAAAGTGGCAATTACTTGGCCTGGGTCTAAAACTGCTGAATGGTCACCAAATCTTTCAGTGAAAACTGTGATCAATAACTCCTCAGGCAAGATCAAGCTTTTAACTTAAAGTTAGGATGTAAGAGAGTGAAAAAGAAAACTTTCTCTGCAACTGATCCAAGAGGACAGAACAAACTCCCAGGGGGAAAAAAAAAAAAATAAATCTTAAGGACTAGCATGTATTTTATCACCAAGTGCAAAACACTGTTCTTTGACCTGCCTTCTCCAACCTGACTATAATAAAAATTCTGTGGAAGAAATAAATCTTACCACTGCATGCACTATTCTTCCCTGGGGGAAAGATAGGGGAAAAAAAAGAATGAGCTGCATATGACAGTGATATAAAATATCATATAACTCAATGCACGACCAGAAGGAGTTCAGATGGTTGCTGTGAGGACAATGATATAAAGACCTTCTTACAGCAGAATGAATCTGTGCTCATCATTCATGTTTAAAGGAAAGATACTGTATTTTTAAACTGACATGATAATTTATTCTTTTCCATGAAAACCCTAATCTTTTTGCACTGCACTCACTTTATTATGCTTAAAAAATTTAATTCACCATCTATATTCTTTAATGAGAATGGAATGGAATGGAATGGAATGGAATGGAATGGAATAGAATAGAATAGAATAGAATAGAATAGAATAGAATAGAATAGAATAGAATAGAATAGAAGGCTCACTTTATATAAGATTCTAACACCTTTATTTTGTTCCACATGTAATCCCTCTTGAAATTAAGGTGACTCAGTACGTTCCAGTTTTAGCAGAGGCAGAGGAATAAAACTGAAGGATTAAATTTCATTAAAGGCAGACTATTGCTTGCTTCCATAAGGCAAACAGAAATTCTTCCAAATATTTCAGCTCTTGAAGGTATGTTTAAACATTTGTGCTGACAGTAAAACCAGAAAAGAACATCTCTTGGTATAAATCCCAGATGGGTGAGATCCTGACTTAGTACAGCAGAGTATTTTATGACTTTTCTAATTATGCTACAGGGTGGATATTAGTGTCCACTCCTCAGACAGAATATAGAGACAAATTGTGCACCACCAAACACATACACACATCAAGGGCACTTACGCATGTTTTTGCACGACTCAGAGCTACAATTCATGAGCTCATATGCTCAAATAGAGAAATCTGGTGCCACATGCTTGAAATGTTTTGGGGTTTTTTGTTGTTTTGTGGGGTTTTTTTTTTGTTTTGGTTTGGGGTTTTTTTTCCCATCTCTGAGGCAGGGATGCGGAGAAAACTATAAATATTTTCAGTCAACATTTTCAAACTTCTGGTCTGTCAGGTACATTTGTGAAGGGTGTTAACACTGAGTCAATTTGTTTGTTTGGCATCTCCTGACACACAATACGTGTACACACACATATACATATATACGTGTCAAGAAAACAGCAGCGATGTGTACATATTTATTTACCTCAATAAGTCTGTAAATTTTATAATGAGTGAGATTGTACTGAATTCAGTGTCATATTAAAGTTTTTTTTTTTTTTTTCTTACCAGGTTAAGCCAGTATGTACATAATTTATACCAGATAAATAATTGTTCCTTTAATCCAAAAAACCTGTTACCCTGCAGCTGTTTCCCTGCTCCTACCCTAACCAGAATTTACTGGAACACTTCTCATTAGTATTTAGTAGAAAGTTGTTTACAGTCTAAAATGTTTTAAAATGTCACACCTATGCAACATGATCTTAAGCAAAGCAATTCCAGGTATGCTAGATATGGGTTAAAAGTAAAAGAAAACAACAAGTCTAAGTCATTTGCTTTCCAGAAACATGGAGAACAAGTTGCAAATTACAATAAGCTAAAATCTGTTACATATAATTATTTCACTATATTAATTATTCATTGACACAACAACAGAGAGCGATGCCGTGTTTTCTAGACGAAGCTAAGTCTTTGTCACAAACTGTGCACAGTTTTGAAGGCAAGGATCTCCTACCACAAACATCACCTTGGAGAGGAGGTGGATGAAGTCCTGGCCTTTACACCAGGTGGTAAACAGAAAAAGGGAGGACGGTAAATGAAAGGAGGGATGCTGGAAAGAGAAAGGAAAGGATAAGTGCAACTGCACTAGAAGATGAAGGGTGAGGTTTTTTGGGGTTTTTTTTTACACTTTCATGTAGTCCTTCTCCTATATTCTGGTCATGCATTAGAGTGGAGAAATGATTTTGTGAAGAAGTGCAGCTGAATGAGGACAAGGTATGTTTTAAGTTGTGCTGAACAACCATGGCAACAACCAGCTTTTCTTTCCCTTCAACCCAATGCTACTGTAGGTGTTGCTGGAAATGTCAATCCTTGTTGAGCTGGACTTGTCACAACAGAGTATTTGAGAGGTGGGATGCTAACAGACGCCAGTTGAAGAAACAGAAGAAAATGCCCTCAAAAATAGAATTGAAATAATGCTTTTTGTGAGTCTAAGGATTCAATGTGGAGATCCCTGTTTGTTTCAGTAGCTTTTAATTTAGAAATCTTTACAGACTGGCTTCTGGTGTCAGGACACATAAGACACCATCAACTCAACAGATAAAGAGCCCCACACCTAGTCACGTCAAAGCCCACCAGCGTACATAAACAAGGGAAAACTGTGACCATTGCTCCCTCAGTAGTTACCCACACCATTGCTCCCACTGCAAAGCTATGAAAAAACAAATAAAAGCAGGCAGAACATGAGATAACTGCTAGGATCATCCACCAGATTTCCTCAGCCATTTCGTGCTCCAAGTACCACGTGAAATGGGCCTGTGAATGTTAAAAACACTCTTTTTAGGACAATTGTTTATTCCCACAGGGAATGACTCCGTGGTCGGGTCTGACATCATCTGTTGCCATAAGATACTACGTGAGAGATGGCTGTAAATGGTGATATTTGTGCTGTTACAGCCACGGAGGTCTAAAGGCACAAGCAAGAAAAGATTTAGATGAAGTGGGGATATCTTTTATACAGATTTGGGAAAAAAAAGAAAGAAAGAAGGGAAGCTCTCAGGCACACAAACCCTTCTTCAGGGCTTCTCTTTTATCCAGCTCTGTTCAATTACTTCTTCTTTCTTCATGACAGAGTTTTACCCTCTGATCTGTCATCTTCATATTGATTTCAACAAATATGATTGTTTGAAAGGAAAAAGCTGAGAGAGGAAGAGATATGCTTTGTGCAGCAGACCATGTTTGGGTAAAAGACCCAATACTGCCAGATACTGAATTGGCTCAGCTACTGAATCACCTCGGGAGATTATTGTCAAGTGGTCTGAGGGAGGGGAATAACAAAAGGCTACATTCATTTTTGCTAGCTTACTTTTAGGGCTCAATCCTTTCCCCTTTAGCTGACTGGTTCATACTCAGCACAACGTTCTCCTTTGTGTAAACTGCACTTTTGCTTTGTTTCCCAAGCTTAGGATGAACAAAAGTTAGGCTATGTGATACTGCAAAAGATAGTCACAGCAAACAACGGGAGCGTATTTTCCCTTCCTTATTCTTGTCTCCCCATCAAATAGCACAAGTCAGTACAAAATGCCAACACAAGCTGATGATGGGTTGTGTAGATGACAGCAGCAAGAACAACAGAGCCATATTCAAACCCAACAGTCTTGACAACACAATGAAAATCCCAATAAAGCATGAGGCAAAAAGAGCTTGGTCTGGTTTGGTTGTAAGTTTGTAGGTTTCCCTTTGTATAGATGAAGAGGACAATAGGGTGTCTGGAGTGAGATGATCTATTCTGATTTTAGTTTCCCTGACACCCTCAGAGTTAAATATTTGTGCATCTTTTCACTGACAAAATCCGTATTCTCACATATTTTATATTTTTAATAAGTTCTGTTATTGCTTTATTAGGAATGAGTGAAAGAAATATCCATTGATGTCACTGGATGATTTTTACACTTTAAATTTTTAAAATTAATGTCTATAGTTTTGTATAGAACCACCTCCTTACACTCTGTAACATTATTTCTGATTTGTTAATCATAACAGCTCCAATACAATGGGTATTTTATATTTATTCAAGAAGTAGTCCCTTTCTCCAGGATATTCACCAATAAATATGCACTTATGGAAGGAAACATCATAATATACTGGTGACAACAGCGCAGTAGTACTGTGACAACAGTGCAGAAATACTGTTTATTTTGTTTTTTGGGATATACACATGTTTGTGTGCTTGTGTACATTATTAAATATAAGCACGCGTGAGTGCCTACAGATTAATCTTATATAAAATATTAATAACATGCTATGCTTTTTATTAGTCTATTATTTATATCTACAGGTGCTGTTAGTAGGAGTCGCCAGTTTACAGCGTATTTTTGCTCTATTCTGAAATTCTGGCAAGTTTACAGTATGTTATAAAATGAAGGCATTAAAATCTACCTCCCTTCAGCTTATTTTTTTCTTAGCAAGCAGGAAATCTAAGCAAGCAGTTGATTGTATAGAGTTTATCAGTATTATTTAATCCCATGTTCAGTTCCCAAAGATTTATAAGCAATTTAAAATGTTCTCCAAATTATCCTTACATCACCTAGTCATTAATCTGCAGGCACTAAGTATTGAAAATTCTAAAACCCATCTACAATTTTCAGGAAAAATAGTGAGTACTGCTTTCTCCCCCCCCTCTTCCCCCCCAATATTCTTTTCGTTTCAGTTAAGTTAACGAAGTTTGCATAGTATAACTAGTCACATAAACCAGCTTTTTCCATGGACATAAACAAATCTGAGATAATGTCCCTCACTACAACATCATGCTAAGGAAAGACGGACATGGTTACATGCAGAAGACATTTTTTTAATATAAACTAGAAGATTCAGTAAGACTGACGGGATGGTCAACAGTTTTTAAGACCAGCCTCTTAGTTACACATAGTTTTTAAGGTTGTTAAGAGTTTTAAGTTTAGATAATATTAAGAAAAAAAGCTTGGGAGAAACAAAGTATTAAAGTGGAAACAGAAAAATACAAATAATGGGGAACTCAATAAGGAACTCAACTTTAAAGATGTATCAACATGCAAAGGGATGGCAAATGCCAGGCACCCAGGACCAGCCCTCTGTCAGTGAGATGTGTCAGCACTGATACAGGAGCATTTTTACAGCTCCTGGGGTGAAGGATAGGACCCAAACCAGTGTCAAAAGACATCTGCTTTCTATGTACAAGCCAGAAGAACTCATCAACACTTCCCAATGACTCTCCTGGCCCTCTCTATGGAAGTGGTTTGGGAAAAGAGCTGTGTGTTGCCGGACAGTGTGTGTGACCCTGTGGGGTTGTGGGAAGAAGGCTTGGGCAGGCAGTGTGTGTGTGTGAGGGTGTGGTGAGGCTTTGAAGTTCAACTCGTGGTGTCCCACTGGCAGATTGTGTGTGTTGTGTGTCCACACGTGTTGTGCTTTTACACACTTTGTTCACTGGATGTGTGCCTGAGTTTGCAGGATGCCAAGGACTGCTCTGTGTGGTGTCCATCTCATGTGTGCGTGGCTCCAAAATCTCCACTGAGTCAGGCCAAGATGGGACTGTGCAGGAATCACCACAGACCAAAGCTCAGAATGGAGCAAAGGGAGGCAGAAAATACATAATACATAATTTCTGCCCCAGCAGGAGAAGGGAACAGCACAAACCCCCAAAGCAGGTGAGATCCCTACCCAAGGCTTTCCATTACCAGATAAGACACTTTTGCAGACCAGCAGGAAAAGCAAGTAAGCAAGTAGACAAAACAAAATCCCACAGAAAAAAATATCAAAAAACCCCCCAAAATCCCCAAACCCCAACCTCACATCTCTAACCCAGGCTTCTCCCAAAGGTCTTGCTGGTGCCAGGACCTAAGGGAACCGGCTCCGCTCTCTCACCAGCCCGGTGAAGTGCTCGGTGTCCGGACAGAACCCGGTTTAAAACCTCCAGCCCCCTTCCCCAACCCGAAACTCCCTGGGAGCTGAAAAATCACCGACCGATTTGGGGAGGCGATGGCTTTAGTCGGCTGGAGATTATCTCAGCTGGAGCCGCGAGAGCCATTAATTAAGCCAGCTATTTAGGATTTTAATGCGATTTAAATTGGCCTTTGGAAGAGAAAAGAAAAGAAAAAGACAACAGTG